AATCGAATTATTCGAATGTGCTCGAAAACGCGAAGAGCCACTCGGCGCAAGGTTAATCGCGGCATCCGTCGCGGTTACTCTCATAAAACGTTGACGAAAATAAACCACGCGCGCGCGGGAAGCGTCACGCAATTTCGTCGAATTTTCATGCAAAATTGAGGAAAGTCGAAGCTGCGTGTCTCCAGCTCGTGCACCTCGTATGTCGAATAATAAAAGACACCGGCGACATTTCATTTGAAAAATGCTTCGCTGTTACAGTGTAAATGAATATGTCCTGCGAAAAGAATCTATTTATTTTCTTTTTTTTCTTTTTTGCATTGCTTCTATAATATTTTTAAATAAATATTATTCATTAGATATAAACAAAAATGAATGTTTATATACGAATACAATAAGAAAATACTTAAAATACTGCATGTAAAATAATTAATAAATTTTTCACAGATACCACACACATTTAAAAATTTCAATTATATTTTTATAATGACGGATAAATCAATTTGAAAGTAAAGCTATATTAATTTACTGAGCAATTAACTCTTATTGACAATTATGTAAATTATCATGAGACATTATTTGCGTATGTATTACAAATATATCGTCTCTGTAAGCACATATAAAAATATATAATACTTTTAGAGAATTGAAAAAATTTTATTTTCTTCGTATATATAGTTCGATCGATTCTCTCAATATAAGATCATCTAAAACCGTTTCCTTCTAAATCTTCCTCGAATTGCGTCGTGTCCCCTACCTCGGGAAACGCTGCCCGCGATTCATAAGTTTCACGGAGAATTTCTTACAGCGATCGACGAGCGGCGACCGAGGGAACCAGTCGAATACCAGGACGAGCGCGGCCGGCTTAGAAGATACGCACAAAATTGCGTATCGATACGCGTTGAGAGCACATTGATTGATCGATCGGGAGAAAAACGTCGTTCAGCTCTCGTATAACGGTACGATTTCAGGTGACTCTACCCTTCGTGGAAACGGTCGTCTTACCGAGCGATGGCCTGAATAGAGTCTCTTACCGGTGTATATAAATCTGCCTGCTGTCGCGCCGCTTCTTTCTTTCTTCTCCTCCCTCCTCCTTTCCCCCCCCCCTCCCATTTTTATTCGCGTTTCCGCCGCTGATCGATCGATCGCTCTCCAAGAGAGAGAGATCCAAGATCGGGTTTAACGTCGGTCATCGGGGTAAATGTCGGACGCACGTGCGTGTCACCGCACGCTCACGCGATCGGCAAGAAACGACGACCGGCTGAGTTCTCTCTCGCTGATTTATTGCCGATCCCTCGATCGCGGGTATTACAATCGCCGAGGAAATCCTGCGCGCGGATATTCGCGGTTTCTTTTTTTGCGACGCCACAACATACGCCGCGGTCAGCACGAGGGAAGAAGTTTTTAAATTGACGGATCATCTTATTTTGAAAACCGGCCACACATCCTTCACGTTTTGCCGGTGTTTTGTTCGCAATCCGCGCAATTCCGATACAGTCGCGTCGCTATTTATCTCGATCTTATGAAAGCATCTCGTAATGAGTGACATAAGCAAAAGAATATCGAGAAGCGAAGGTTTTGCAATCAGTATATGAGATAAAATAATATTAACTCGTTCAGTTTCACGCGATCTATCTTTTTTATGTAACATCGAATGAGCGCGGAGAAAACCACAAAAAAGTTGATTTTTTAAATGAATTAATTACATTAATTATTTTCTATGAATTAATACATTGCGAAAAAAAAAAAAAATTGCAGAATAAATACTTAGAGAGTGATATTTCACCTTTAGTGGAATTGGGGCAAATTAAATTATGAAATTCCATCTTATTTATATAGAGATTTTTTTGTGCGTTTTATCTCTTCGAATATTTATAATCGTAGGAAGAGTACGACCCGAAAGAGATTCCTCCTTGACTGCCTCGTGTCAATGATTATGTGCTGATTCGCGAACTGCATGCGATTCTGAAGATGCGTTCGCAATATCATCGTCCGGCAAAGAGAACAACACGGATAATTAGTTGCGGATAACGCGTTTTTCATTTTTCTGCAAGTGTATCGCGCTGATAACATAACGTAGGAAATTTCAAGTCGTTAACAAAATTATGATTTTCGAGGAAACACGTTTCACAACGCTATTAAATGGCTATCACCGGCAATCAAAAAAAAAAAAAAAAAAAAAAAAAAGAAGCATAAAATCTATGTCTCATTCGATCGGTCGGGAAAGTATCGGCGAAGGAAGTTTCTCGCAGCTCCGATAAACTTATTTTAAGAAGCACGCTCTTATATATTGCGCGCAGACCGATCGTACGTGTGCACGCGTATGAGATTATTACATGTAATTTATGAGCTTTTTCATTCGTAAAAAGATCATATCTTGCGGGATAGACGACATTACGTCGCCGTTATAAAGCCGATCATAGAAAACGTGTTATCGCGCGTCAATTAACTTTTGTATTCACGCAATGTGAAACAATGTTTTCTAATAACGCTACTTTATCGCCGATACTTTCGTCTGGTTATCAATCAATTAGAAATAATTATTCGCGCGCGTTACAATTAACGCAATTTCCGCAATGTAACACAATGATCGATGCAAATCATCCATTCCGCTTCTTCTATCTATCTATCTATAATGTTTTTATGAACTATTCCTCGCGTTTACTGATCGTGTCATCGTATGATTAATAAAAAGGTAATAAAGCATTTTTGAATCTTAACTATGCACTTTAATATACTTGAAATAGCTTCGATACGTAAATGATTATCGCGTTCATTTTCTATTCCCCGATAACCTCTACAGCAACTTAAGCTGTTGTAATGTAGCTTGTACTATGTAGCGATCTTTGATATCAACGTGATACGTGACACATTCGCGAACGCAGATGTATTTTGACATCTTTATCTTGCTAAGAGTTGAAAAAAAAGAAGAAGTTCCAACGTAGCGCATATCCGATTTGAAACTATTTTCTAACCATCGCAAAAATATGCCAAGATGCATATTCTTGAATTTTAAATCAGTGAGTGTGTATAAGAAAACAGCTACTCAAATATCTGTTACGCCAGACTGATAGCGATGCACTTAAATTTGATCGAAAGTTGTATTTATATCCAAAACGCATTAATTCGCTGTAAGCATATCTTTGTTTACACGTTAGCGAGAATCAATAAATATCTTTCCACATGTTGTATTTTTGATTCCACCTCATTCATGCTATCCAATATTTATGTATGTAGATAGCATAAAGTGGTCATGCAGCGATACTATTTTATCGAGTTATATGGAGTATATTGAGCATATAGTATATCGACTGCAATGAGAATCTTTTCATTCACAAATAATAAATGATGCAATATGGGCTCCAAAATTCTACATTCAAAAAATTCAAAAA